AAATTTTGGACAAAATCGTTGGAGTCGTATTTGGACAGAAAGTTCCAAAGCCCCCCTTTTTTGGCTGTTCACAAGAAGAAATTTTCAATCGACTAACTATAAAATGTTTGATTTTCAAAAACGTCTGAATAGCCTGGTTGTCAAAATTTCATTGAATTATTCGTTTAACTATTAAATACACAAATAAAGTAATTTTGTAGGGGCACACACACACCCACACACACCCACACAAACACCCACACACTCACACACACACAAACACCCCCCCCCCCCCACACACACACATAAACAACTTCCAAGAATTTAAACTTTAAAAATATGGTTCATCTAAGCTTTGAAAAATGCATGTTTCTAAAAATATATATGGCTGCCGTCATGAGAAAAATACCTTAAGGTCAAAATTTCACAAATTGACTTTTTGTTTAATTTTGATAGCCTGACTCTTTCTGAATGCAAATATACATCAATTTTTAAAATATCTCACTTTATTAGTATTTCACGAGCATTTAAGGCCGCTTCAAAACAACGTTGAAGTTACTTATTGAAAACGTAATGACGTCGCGTGCGTCAAATTCAGTTTCCAAACATTCTTTTAAAAACTACACTTTTTAAATAACCTTAATCGTTTTGACTCATATAAACTTGAGAATTTTTTTTCTTCCAAGCAACTAGTATGTAATTACTCATGAGGGAAGTCGTATCCTATTTTCATACTATATTAGAGCAGGTCTAGTAATTTCGTAAAGGGTGTGGTGGGGGTCTAGACAGGATATAGGAACGGTTTTTATTCAGTCGAAAAATTAATACTTGTTGAATTCCACATCATAAGGTATTCTTTTTAAAATTCCTACTCTAGCTCAATTTATAAAAGATATAAAGCACTTATAATATTAAAATATGAAAAAATCTATATAGATATCCCAGAAGGGCACCTCGTGCAATTAAAGCAGGGTATCCCCTCGCGAAAGAGCACATCGATCCCGATATAAAAAAAAAAATTTCGGATATGAACACGCATTCACTCACCCACATACACGCACTTAGAAACATATCAAAGAGGCACATAACGATGTCAAAGGATTGTATTCTGTACATGAAAATTTAATTTTTTTTTGTCAATTACTTACTTTATTCAGTAAATCACACTTAATCAAATACGGATAAAAATGTTTCTGTCCTTTTTTTTTTTATTTTGAGGCACCTGTGCCGTCGACGTCACTACTGTATCACTTGAACACAACAAGTATCGTTCATCATTTCCTAAGGGGCGACTAATCTAAAAAAAACCCAGATATACATACAAACTAAACGGACTTTTCTGAGCGAAATAAAATACAGTTGCATTACAATTTTTATGAAATCTATTTGAAATTGAAACCGAATATCATGCGAGACTTAACAGGCACGTAGAACGCGGTGGGGGGGAGGGGGGGCAAAATTCCTCTTATACGTGCTGGCCCCCCCCCCATTTTTGTTGTTGTAAGGTGGAGCAATGGTAAATTCCAGGATTTGTGCGGGTAAGTTTTTCCTTTTTTTCTGCTTGTCAGATTATTTTGGGAAGTTGCCCCCCCCCTCCATCTCTTAAGTCTGTATAGGTTTGTTTGGTTTTTTTTTTTTTTGGTTTTTTTTTGTTTTGTTTTTTGCTTTTTAGATCTTTGTAGGAAGTTGACCTCCTCCGACCCCCCCCCCCCCCTGAACTTTTAAAACTAATTACGGACCTGCTGGAATATATGTATTTGAACATAATTAAGATCATCTATTCATCTTCCTCTTTGGCATTAGCTAAAATGACACCTAATCTTTCATTTTTCGATGAGATGAAATGTAAATAAAATTATATTCTTAAACAATAATTAACACATTTTATACTTTTTTGTATATGAGGCGATTCGGTTAAGCAATATCCCATTGAATGTTTGTAACTCTACCACTCTAACTTGAACTTCATGGGCGATCGACTTAGTATCTGCTTTAGTCTTGAAAGCTAAAGATAAAAAAGACAAACCATTTTTTCCCAGTTATTGTTTCAAAAAAAAAAAAAAAATATAACAATTTGTCAGAATCTCGAAATTAAAGAGCATGACTCTTATTTTTGCCTGTTACCACACGACTGAAATAGAAACTTTTTTTCTTTAAAATCAGAAAGATGTGTGTGCTTGTTTAATATTTTTCCTTCAGCATCCCTACATCAACGGAACTTTCAAAAAATGTCGAGATATCCGGGGTATCGAGATATCAGAGCTGAGACTCGACGTTCAAGATTTCAACACGAAACGTGACTAATTTATTACATACAGATGTACATGAATACAACAGTCCACAGGCACTTGAAGTTTTTAACCTTTCTTTTCATAAATAAAAAATTCTCCATACTATTAAAGTCAGCCAAAAAAAAAAAAAAAAAAAAAAAAAAAAAAAAAAAAAAAAAAACAACTTTTTTAACGTATTTTATGGTTATCAGAACCTCCGTTTTTCCGCTCGAAACATCAGCAGTGTTAATTTTTTTCATCTCTATCAAAATAGATTTCTTCACTGTCTTTGTTGTCTTACGACTGGTGTTGTTGATGTTTTTGAAAGTTTTCTTAACATTTGAAGTTGACACCCATAACCACTTGTTGCTAGTTCTTATTCCCCTATCAGTGATTTATTCTCAAAAGATGTCGCCATATCAACATTTATCAGAAGTTTGTAATTTCTTTACAGCCTAATCTATTGTTTAATCTGTTTCGTAAATATTTTTAATCTTAATATCATCGTCGATGTAATTGTTATTTTCTTCAACATTGATCATAATGCTTTTGGAAAAAGTCCACATTAGCTGTATCTATATCCTTAATGTATTGCAATTCAATTTCAAGTCAGCTTTTATCGGAACAATCTAAGAAAATTGATACAATAGTCATTTTTATCAGAAACTACTTTTTTATGTATTTATTTGATCATTTCAAAATGTTTTCTTAATCATAATTTATATTTTGCAAAATTTCCGTGGCATCCCTCTCTTCCGTTTTTCCCCTTAGCATATTCTCTTGATGTTAACTTAGCAAAGAAATATCTATATCGGGGCCGTTTGCCCCCCCCCCCCCCTCTCTCATTCGTTACTGTAGTAGGAAGTTCAAATCCCTCATAATACCAGATAGCAGTACTATATCCCCCCTCCCCCCAAAAAGATTCTCTTTTTTAGATTGAACTTTTACCGATTGCTGTTTTATTAGGAGATTTTTTTTGCTTTTCAATGATCTGCGCCCGACCCCCTCCCCCCCCCCCCCTCAAACACATTTGGATATCGACGCTTCACCCTGAGCTGGTCTAACTGCGCATATCGATATTATTAACTATGGATCAATTGAAATGGCTAAGTACATTTTACATTAGGTGTTTTTTAGAATTAAGAAGTGTATACATGTACGTGCATTGCTCTCCCTCTCTCTCTGAAAAAAAAATATACGTGTATGCAGAATGTATACGCAAAATACCATTTAATATTAAGACATAGTCTACTTAATATGAGTCAAATTTAAACATTTGCAAATTGCTCAGAAAACTTAAGCCATGCATCATATATACATATCGCTATAAATCGTCGTAATTAACAATGAGTTCAATGTCGCACTTAGCGTAATTATGTGATATCAATTTAAATACCTAAACAGAATAATTAATAAATGCATGTACTAGTGTGTAATTATAGTATTTATTAAAAATGTCCGCATCAAATTTCATATGATTTAATGTTTTTCTTGTAAGACCTGGAAATCCAATTTTATTTTTTGTTCACAAAACGCAGTCGACAAAAATTACTTCCGTGTTTACAATACCTCGACTTTGACGTCGTTTTCTGCGCATTGTGACGTCAAAAGATAAGTGCCCTTTTCTCATGACGGCAGTCATATACATGTATTTTATACGGCGCGTTTTTAATTTATGGCGTAAAAGGATACGCCCTCCGTTTTCCATTCACGTTTCTCACGGCGTCTTTCAGAATTGGGATGAAAAACAATGCTATGAATCTACAAATACACATAAAAATCAAAGCTGAAAAGATTATGCTCTATGTACGAACAGTTTCTAGAACGAATGACCTTGTTAGGAAATACAATCTATTATTAAGTCAAATGCTGACTGAAATTCTTAACACTAATTGTTAGGCCTTTATCTACACATTGAATTGTCTACGGATTTTTCCGTTTTTCCCGATCATGACAAGGAGCACACGGCGGGCGTGACCGGTTGACAGGGGATGCTCACTCCTCCGTGGCACCTGATCCCACTCTGATGTCTTATGGGTCCGTGTTTGCTCTGCTCCTGCTTTGTATTGTTTGAATGGTTTTTTGAGCTTGAATACTGTTCGTTATCTCCATATTTCATGCTTTAGTGTTGTTTGATAATGTGACCTGACATCTTTGATGTGTATGATTTGTAATTTTGAATTCATGAACAGTTATTGATACGTTAAACTTGATCTGCCTAATTTGTGATATCTTTCCTTTACACAAATCCTTGACAAAAGTCGCAATATAAAGTCAGGCTGATGGTGAAACACGACGTATGGTTAATTATAAACCATCCTATAAAAATATCTTTTTCAAATCCGTCTTCTTCAAATGGCTCAAAGCCATAGCACAACTTTTGTAATGGGGATGAGATTGATCCTCCAAAAATTTATCTCCGAAATTTTATTTGAGGTAACTTATCACAAATTCTACAAATATTGGTTATTTCCATTTTAAGACAGGTCTTTTTTGTTTAGAAAACTTACCTTCTACAAAGGCCATTTTCTGATTGATTCCAGTCATAGACCTGGAACAAATGAAGTAGTGGCTCTCTAGCCTGACTTTTGAATAGCGAATTTTGTCAGGGGGTTTATGTAGTATCGGTATCATAAAACCCTGTTATTGTTATGATGGGTCTACTGACAAATTTTTTATTATTGTATGATATTAATTGTCAAGATCAAGATTTATAACAAAATGAAAACTTTTATTTTTCTTATGCTTTAGTTTAAACGGTTCGAAGAAGGAATACTTCTGGATTTCTGATGGCAAATCAACCACCACTGGTTATTTTATTCTTGATAGGTGCAGTTTTTATATTGGTCAGTAATTCTGCTACATTTTTAAATTACATATTGTAATTAGATGGATTGATTGACAAGCAATTCCACGTAAATCATCTAAATGATCAAATTATTGAAGTTACCTACAATATTGATGGATACATTTCGAAGTAGATATTTATTTTAAATAATTTTCAGTTTGTCACTACTCCATTGATCAAAAAAAGTCTTGATTTATGGAACGATCACGAAAACCAGTGTTCCATCTATAACAGACTACTGAAATTAAAAGTGAATCCACCAGAAGACTGTCCATACAATGAAGTAAAAGATTTAGCATTTGAACTAATGCTGATGGGAATCATTTTTCTCAGCCTTGTTACTTTCTTCCTTGGTTTCATGTGGGTTTTCATTACATGCTTACCAAAACATCGTCGAAAAGAGATTGGCATACTAAGTGTATGTATTTCAAAATTATTTTATTCTGAAAAATTTGAATTTGTTTGGAAAATTTTGTCTTTAAAAATGAGTAATGTGGTTTTAATTGAGGACTTCTTTAAAATACAGGGTTTCTTTGCTTGTGCTGTAGTAGTCCTGGCTGTGTTCATGGCTATGAACTATAAGGACTTGCATGCTTTCGTATACAAAGATAACAAGATGGTAATCATTTAGAAACCTCAACGTATATATATATATATATATATATATATATATATATATATATATATATATATATATATATATATATATATATATATATATATATATATATATATATATATATATATATATATATATATCAGGCTTGGTGCGAATTACATGGTAAAGTAATGCATTACATTGTCACTACTTCAAGAATTTGGGCATTAAATTACCATTACTTATACTTTAATTTCTTAAAGTAATGCATTACAATACCGTTACTTTTGTTGTTTTTTTTAAATTAAAAAAAAAGATTGCAAATATTTTCATAAATATGCATCCCATCTTTTTAAAACTAAAGATGATGAACGACAATTCGAATTTAATTTCAAGTACTTGTATTTATTACACTGTAAATGATTTATATATCTTTTAATTATTCATAGGAAGTTCAAACTTTTCAGTTACAAATAAGATAATAGCATGTACAATATGCAATTTGTGTAAATATTGATATCATAAAGCAATTTAACTTTCTGGGCAATTTACTCCATCCCCAAAGCTAAAACTAAACTTATTATCTAGTACCTTAAATTATGACAAAAATTAAATGCATTGACAAACTTGTAAAAAGGGTTGGACAGTATGTACATTTTGCTCTTCTAAATTAAAAGTAGAATATCTGTCTTCCATTCCTTTCGGTGCAATGGATTTGTCACGGTGAGCTCAAGCTAGACCAGCTCAATTAATGTTTCATAACCACAATCAGAAGAAAGAGTACTTCTCAAACAATACATTGTTTTAGTTACATAACCTTTATAAAGGCATTGTGTGTTTTGATGATACTCTATTCAAAAGATTGCAATTATCAGTTTACAGTGTACATTAATTAGTGTGCGTCATACCGGAGTTATTATAAAGGGTTTTTTCTTAAACTCTTTAAAATATTCTTTGAAATTAAATCTGATCTAAATTAAATATGAAAATTTAAATGTGTAGTAATTGAACTTTCAACTGAATCAAAAAAATATTTTTAAATAGATACAGAGAGTTTATTTAAATAGGTTAACTTTTTTCATTTATTTCTATTAATTAAAAAAAATAATCTAAACAATAATTTCCGTGTCTATTTTCGATATTGTAAAATAAGTGTATACAAAATAATGCTTTGTAATGCTATGTATTGACAGCATTACTGTAGATATAAGAAAGTAACGCATTATAGTATCATTACATGTAATGGAAATTTTTTGGCATTACAATTACTAGCATTACTTCAAGTTCAAGTTATGCATGGCAATGCATTACCGTTACATTTAGCATTACCCCAAGCCTGATATATATATATATATATATATATATATATATATATATATATATATATATATATATATATATATATATATATATATATATATATATATATATATATATATATATATATATATATATATATATATATATATATATATATCTTTTTAAATGTAAGATTTGGACTCATTCTGATTTGTTAATCATCTTTTCTTTCCAGGTTTTTGAAGTTATGATTTTTTGTATTATTCTAATTATTTTAGAATTGGACATCTTTACATTCAAATATGAATTCATCTCTATTGAAGAATTTTGTTAGTGATAACATCATAAGTGCGAATGAAACGTCAAACCGATGGAATATCTTTTTCACAGAGGTATGTTTAAGGAGGCACCTTACATCCACAGTTTATTTCATATTTCATTACAGCACCACTTATTATGTAGATTTCAAATATCCAAACAATGATTACAATATCAGAGATATTTTTTAGTGTTTTTCTTTTAATTTTTTAAATTTTATTTTGGTTAAATGTTTCATTTCAAGTTTCTTATCAATAGAATTGCAGAAGTCACAGTGTAAAGTGATGTATAACTTCCTCAGACTTGTAAAGAAAAATGACAACACTTCATAATATTTCATATTATTTTTATTAGAAAAAAATATTTTTCCAAAAAAAAAAAAAAAAAAAAAAAAAAAAAAAAAAAAAAAAATAATAATAATAAAAAATGTGCTTTTCTTTGTAATAAGAATATGAGTATTTGAGAAAACCAGTTATAAATAGACAAGAAATGTATGTCAATGAATAAAAAGTGACAAATTGAATTAAAGATGTTTTTACGAAATGAAATTTCTAATAAAGAATTTGGTATAAAAAGTCCACTTGCAAGAGTTATCTTTCCTAATTCCCCCAGACTCAAAACACCAAGGAACTTTTTGAACATCTAAAATTCAGAATAAGCTTTATATTTCTAAAGTATATTATTAAAAAACTAAAGAAAAGTACATAAATCAACAAGAGTACAGTATTTCATGTGAGCCCATTATATTTTTTCCCAACAATGTTGAAGAAGTCAACTCGGATTTCCTCCATGTCTACATGTTGTCAACGGTAGATCTCGATGCGTCTGCTATGACATTGATCATTACTTGTGTAATGAAGATCTGGCTTTCCTTCTCTTTGATCTCCGCTTAAAAACAATCCATCCTTTTTTATCATTCATGATGAATCCGTCACTTTGTTTTCAGTGTTTATGTGATCGTATCTGTCGTCTTTTAAAAAGCGTTTTAAAGATTTAGATCTTTAATAGAGGGAACCTGTACAATTCGTCCCCACAGAAAAACGGACGAAACATTGGAGGTTTTTTTTTTGTAATACGTCATCCCGAAGAAAATGAGCTTTTTATAACATGAAAAAAGTCCTTAAAATAGATGTAAATAAACGGTAAGAAAAACTGTGCATATAGGAATTGGTAACTAGTAAAAATTATAATTAAAAATTATTTAGAAAATTAAATAAAATATCGTCTTTGCTGGATAGGCAATATGCGAAAAATGTTATGTCCATAGATTTTAAAAAGATTGTACTTGGATTCTTCAACCCCAGACTAGGTGGAAAATGTGCCATGTTATTGCATAAAAAAATTCCCAGTAATTTAGAGGAATATTCAAACCCCTCCCGAGTTAAAGCACTTTATGTTTTCTCTCTGTCTTTTTTTTTGGTGCCCCCCCCCCCCCACCCGCTTTGACGAACGTTGCTATGGACCTGTCTTGTGTTTATGTCTCTCAAACTATGATCTTCAATAAAATAAACCATTTATTAGGTTTGTTACTGACTATCTACAAAAATATCTAGGATTGATCAATCTCGCCTATGATAGAAAAGAAAGCAAAATGGAAAGTGATTTTCTCACTAAATGATTCCTAATATCAAAATGTAAACTCAACGAGTAGGCCTTATGTCAGATATTAATTTTCACCTGCCGGACATAAAAATATAACCAGCAGTCACATGACGCGTTTTAACCAAAGAAAGTGTGAGGCTCTTTAAACTGCATTGTGTTAGGAAGATCAACCGTTTAATTCTGTTAAAATTTGCAAGTAAAGGTATAGATGCTGTAAACATCAGCAACATTTTTAATCATAAAAAGGTTCAGTCTTGTATTCAACCATATTTTTTTAAAGTAAATGTCTACACTTTTGTTTTCTACATATATTCTCTAACTGTCCAAGATTTTCAATTATGAACAAACTTTAGAGTGCCTAAATATTGACCATCTAAGAAATATCCTCCTCGCTGGACACATTATTACAGGTGTTGTGAGCATAGTTCAAAATGGCGACCTAAAAGCAATCATTTTTAGAAGTCCTAAATTCAGAGAACTCATATATTTTACTTGCGCCAGAACTCCAATTCTATTATGAATTCCGTCAAGGAGTATGCTAGACAATGGGCTAAATGTAAAGGTGAAAATCCTGACCAGAAAGAATAAAGATTTTAGAATTATTTATAGAATCGCATTAGAAAACTTAAGAGAAGATTGCGAACTATTTGCTACAACAAATTCAAAAAATGGTATAAATCAAAGGTAGATTCAGAAAACTCTAAAGAAATTTTAGAAATTTAAAATTGACTTTTCAACACTTCATACAACCATTCCTCGATAAATTAAAGAGCAGGCTTTTTGAAGTTATAGATAACTTCTTCATCAATTAGAAAGGAACTCGTAGATTTTCATAGCTTGTGATTGATCATCTACAGAATTACTTTGTTAAAATCATTTGGTTCTATACAAAAGTACTCTGAAGATGATCAAGTTTCTCATTGACAATATCTATGCATTCTTTGATCATGTTTATTTTTTAGTCTTTATTAGCCTGCCTATTCTTTATTTTTCCATGAAGCAGAATTTATTCCAAAACTTTTACATAAGAAAAATGAAACTCTTGCTGTGGCTTTCATGCCAACATTTCGATATATCGACTATTTTTTGTCAATTAACGATAGTCACTTCCAACTCTTATTGTCTACCTACTTGTCAAATCGAGATATCCCGGTAAACGCAAAATAAAGGACACCAGAAAGTCTGCCGCATCTGCTTCTTACGTGGATTTTTAAATGTCTGACAAATAAGTTAATACTGCAGGGATTTTAACAATCTCGTTTAAAGTCAGTATTTTATGGTCGTTTTATTGACCTTGTTTGCAAATACAGCCTATCGTAGGGACGGATTTTGACTGGCATGTTTCCCACTAAAAGTTAGGCAATTGTTTTATACCATTTTTACTAAGGATAACTCTGTTTTCCTGATTAATAAAGAGGGCTCAAGGCAGATGTGACCAGTTGACAGGGTATGCTTACTTCTCCCAGGAACCTGGCCCAAAGACCATAAACAGACTTAAGTCAAAATTTCAAATCAATACAACTTTTGAAATAATTTTGATAATGAAATAAAATTTTCATCATATATTTGAATTTGAATATTGTACAAATCTACAAATTTTTAAGCAAATATTTTATACAAAACTCAAGATATTCAAAATCAAAATTTTGACTTAAGTCTGTTCTCACCTCTTGTGTTTTCAGGTGTATTCTTTACTAGAATCAAGAAAATGATCAATGTTTGTTATTTTAAACTTTTTTTCATTATACTGTCCTTGTTAAAACAGTAGTAATTAGAGAAAAAAAGATATTCTATTCAGAAAGGAAATAAAACTCTGAGGTATATATACCTTGTCTATAGAAACAAAAAACAGATCAGAAACAACATGTCTAAAGGGTAGGTAAAGGTATGAACACCTCTTAACGATAAATTTATTTGAATTTGTTATACGAGTCAATTACATTGAACAGGAGGGGAATACCTCGAGTGAAAACCCCTTCTTCAATGATTAGAGTATAGAGTGGAAACATGTAGTTTCAAAATGTAAGTAAAACAATTAAATGCCCTACCTACGCATTAAGAACAGCATTAAGGTAAGGATAGCATTTTGACGGATGTTAAGGGGAGTAAATTACATGTACAATGATGCATTGTCTACAGAGATCAGTGAAGCAGGTGTAATACTATGTTCTAAACAGTAGATTAGACAAAAAGTGATATCTTGGGTCGGCTAGGGAGTTAGAAGAATCGGTTGTTTGGGCAATTTATTAAAAAAAAGAATTAACACTTTCTATGAAGAAGTTTAATGTAAGCTAGCACATTCTGGTTAAAAGAACCAATTTAAGAATGTTAATAAATAAAAAGGAATGCTTTCATCACAGGAATCATTGAAAGATGTTTTAATGTACTTCATTCTACTTATTCTGCAATTATATTTTTTTTATTTGAGTTAGGCATCATCACATTTACATTGAATTGCTACTTTTTCAGAATAAGTGCTGCGGTGTTAATTCAGTTTACGGGACAACTAATGATTTTGACACGACTCCGTGGTGTACAACAGCTGGTTCCTGTCAGCAAACAAATTCTCAGATTCCAAAGTCCTGCTGTGTCGGTGTCACCAAGGAGAACTTCCAGTTAGCTGATATAAAATGTCATGCTCAAGTCAGCCCACAAACATATAATGATAAGGTAATACACAAGACATTGAGTTAAAGTAATAATAACGTAAAGTGAAATTTTTTGTCAAAATACAAAAAGGTAAAATAAATCTAATTGCCTTATCTTATTCCTTTGTTCTTTAAGCGCAACCGATGGAATGATTAATTGACTTGAAAATGACAATTAAATACATAGATTTTCTTTTTTTTCTGTATCAGGATACTACTAAAATATATTTATCTGCATCCATTCTATATACAGGGGTGTTATTTAGTAATAAAAGAGAAGATAACTGAAGAAAGAATCAAGCATAATTCAAATATAAAACAGGTCCTTAATGAGGAAATGAACGTGTTAATGGCGATGGTATGTAAACTCCTTCAAAATTTTACTCCAAGAAATATATTTTCTTATCAATCTACATAAACATCTCTCTCATTCGAGGTGTGGTTATCATTTCAATTCCATATTTTTCAACGTGATTTCAGACATCTTTTTTGTTTTTTGGTTCAGGCTATTTATTTGAAAAGAAGTATTATTTTATCTATTAAAAACTGATTTCGTAATTTGAACACTAGTTTAAAAAATACATTGCTTGTAGGAAGGCTTTATTAGGTCAAAATATGATAATCTGCTAATCTAATAAAATAGATTCAAAGTGATCTAAGAGAAAGTCAACTACCAGTAATATTGTAGCCAGTGACGATTGATATATTAGAAAAATCATCGAATACCAATAGAGTATCTCCTTACCATCAAAATTTGCTGCTTGAATTACTTGTCCATGAAATTGTTTTGAAACAGCAATGGATAACAAATTGTGTTTCTTTTGATTTTTTTTCCTTTTGGTATTTTTCAGGGAGTATGTATAATAATGCCGGTGTTTGGAATTGTTGCCATTTGTTGTGGTTTAATTAAAAATTGCTGCAAATCGAAAACACAGGAAAATGACGAATATAAAAAGGAAAGTAATTGGACAGAGAAAGCAAATACAGAGACGAACCAAACAAAGATGTAACAATCTGCTACACGTACATGTGAACAAGTAGCTTGCTCTATTAATTCAATATTAATGGTTATTATAAGAAAATGGCATATAGTCAACATCAATGGTGATTAAGAAAAAACTATTTTAAACATAAATTGACAAAGAGCATGACCTGATAATAGCCAGATTGTGCTTCTTGTTATCCCCCCCCCCCAAAAAAAAAGAAAACGAAAAAAAGTTGAACCTCTCAAAGTGTTATTAAGAATCTTATACAATGTTTTTCTCTTGAAAACCACTATTACTTTACTTTTGATGAAGAATTCACAGCATACATAGAGGCGTAAAAAAGCTGTTTAATTAGAACACATTTCCGAATTTCCTTATATCTAAAGAAATTTAATTAAAAATCAAATATTTTTCACTCAAAAATCACAGAGCGCAAACAATCCAAATTGAGATATTTTTTTCTAAACAAGATGAATGTGATACTTTTGCATGAAATTTAAAGATTTCGTAGAATTGTCTGACAATAATATGCCTAAAAAGTCACGAATATTTTAGTAAAAATGAGAAAAAACTGGAAACTGACAACATTTGTGAACTTCCTGTGAGCTATGTGTATGTAATCACTTAACATCAATACTCCTTCAGAAACAATAAAATTATAATCGATAGTCGGTTTCTTATTTTGAACTACTATATAGTATTTTTTTTTTTTTTTTTTTTTTTTTTTTTTTTTTTTTTACATATATATTTTAGACTTATTCATTGCTTTGTAATTTAAGAGTTTAATATTTACTTTTTTAAAATGCAGTAAAATTTGTTAAAAGCGAACACGCCTATAATGAATTGACGCTTTCAAATATTTTGTGAGCTTAACGGATGCAAAAAATTACGTTTATAATGAAGCAAAATCGTCTATTCCTGGTACTTCGTTATTCGCTTTTTTCTGTACGTATACTTTTTATTATTTTTCAAAAATAAACCCCGTCAAATTATGCTTAATTATGGACTACATGGAAATTTAATGTATTTAGTGAGGTGCTGAAAATATTTGATATCAAAAAGCTTTTTGTTGAAAAAATACTGACCTTCTATTGAAATAAAAAAATGAAAAGGTTTTACAGTTAACATTTCGCCTTATCTTAATAAGCTTCATAATGAATATTTTACATTCCTCATTCTCAGTCATTTTTAGATCATTGATGGAACTTAGAAATAAATTTTATATTTTGAACTTGTGAATATGTATAATGCACAATGAAACAAAAATATTTTCTCTTTCCTTAAAAGATTATACTTTCATATGATTAACCTAGACATGTTCTTGAATTTACACATTACTCATCGAATAATTCAGAATCATATATCATCACTCACGTGAAATTTTATAAAAAACTACAATACAATATTTCATCTTTGTATCTATTATTAGGTATAATGTACAAATCTTACACTATATAAAATAAAATGTAGACGTTTGTATATAGATATTAATAAATGACAACCTGTTTGATCTGAAAAATAATCTTCATACAAGATGTGATTGTTAGGTCCAGCTGTAATATTAACAATAGTTCTTTGACATACTATTTATGTCATTTTATAAGATTTTAGTGGACAGTTGATGAAACTGAATTTGCAATTTCATGTTGTTAGTGAAACCAATTACGTACATTTATCATGTATTTCTGCAATTGTTGTTTGCAAAGTGTGAATAAAGTTAGCTGGAAGATCGTCATAAGAAATATTAATCATTGATGGCGATTCATTGTTGCATTTATTAAGATTTAAACAATTGTCTTGTGAATTTGCACTATCAATCCTAATCCTACACAAAATTCGCGGAGTATGAACACAAAGTATTAAAAATATTGCTGTTTAAGGAGGTTGAATCCTGCCATCAAAAGTAATGAGAATTTTTTTTTCTTTATTCTTCAATCACACAAATTATAAATACAAACAGTCACAGTTATATAAAGAAAAAAATGTGTGAAAGAATTTTATTTTTGGGGGGAATAAGAAAAGATAGAAAAGAAGAGGGGGAAAGATGGGGAGGGAAGAGGGATGAGAAAGGAGGGGCACTGAACTTCAAAATATTAATAAAAATTGATTTTTTGAATTCTTACAATTTTTCAACAATTTCCTGCCAGTGTCTTGTAAATTCCTCAAATTTACAGTTTTTTAACAGTAAAAACTTTTCAACTCTAGTTCTGTCAGTAATTACATGTTTTAATTCCTCAATGCTTAATTTTATTGGATTTATGAACTTACTTGAAAAAATATACTGTTTGATAGTCATAATAAGGAGATTCTCAAACTTGTATTGTTCTCTGTTTGTAAATTTACCAAACAAGATTGATTTCTTATCGAAACAAACTAACCGGTTTTGTTTATTCAAAATCCATTCTTCAATTTCCAACCGAAGTTCTTTAAAACAGAAGCAATCAACGAAAAGATGATCAATAGTTTCAATATCAGTATCACAGAAGGAACATAATGGTGAATCAATTAATTTTACTTTGTAAAGATAACTTTTAGTAGGAATTATTCTATATAAAATTTGAAATTGTAACCATTGAAATTTAGATTCTTGAGTTGTTTTAAATGGTAGCTCAAATATTTTTTCCCATGATGCCTCACAAAATTGTTCTCCTTCTTTTCTCCATTTTATAACTGAAGTTATTTCACCCTCTTTATTTTTAATGAGAAGATTATGCATATCTTTATACCCTTTTTTACTCTTGAAAAAAAATAAGTAAACTAGCAGGAATAAGTGGTCTGGAAATTGAAATTGTTTTGTAATCTTTAAAACAGGCTAGTTTCTTTCTTATAGCAGTTCTTAGTCCTGCATTTTCAATATAATTTGTTTTCACATTAAAGTTATTTTGAATATGATTAAAACTATAAATATTACCATTTGGATCAAGGAAATCATTAATAAAAACAAAACCAGAATTAAAATAACTTTTAATAAAAATTGACCGGCCACCAATGGTGACCTTTGGATTGTACCAAACATGTTCTTGCTGGAGTGTTAAACCATTCATAGCTTCATTCTGATATACTTTAGACCAGCTAAAAAATACATCTTTCCAGAATTTATTTCTCAAGTTATTGCCTAAATTCTTAATATAATCAATTCCAAACACCCAAAGATGATTTATACTTGTTTTTAATTCTGCCTCAAGTAAGCTGACTTATTTGACTTTTGAATGTATTACCCGTCTTATCCGACTTGCCTTCAATGATGTAACAAAATCTTTATAATCTATCATCTTTAGACCACCATATCTGTAGTCTTGAATTATAACATTTTCTTAATTTTATGATTCTTCTTATTCCAAAGGAAATTATACAAGTCTTTTTCAAAAGCACTTATTACTTCTTCACTGGGATTTGGTGATGTTAGGATTACATGGTTTAGTTTAGGAATTAGAATTAATAATGTTTTTATTACAGTCAATCTTCCAAGAGGAGTGAGCTTTCTAGCTTTCCATTGTATCATGGTTTTCTTAATCTCTTCCATTTTTAATTTATAATTCATTTCTACCATTTCATCCAGATTAATAAAAAAAATGAACCCCTAATAAATCGAAGGTTGTATTATTTGGATCAAACTTCCATCTGGAGTGATGAAACACTTCTTCTGAAAATTTCTTGCTTCCATTCCAAATCAGTTTTGTTTATGTAAAATTTATCTTTAATCCTGAAATTGCAGCAAAATAATCTAATACTCTTGTAATTCCATCTAATGAGCTTGGAGAACCATCAGAAATAACAGAAGTGTCATCTGCATATTGTGATAACTTATACTCTTCACCATCAATGGTTATACCTTTTAAAATACCTAATATCTCTGCACTGAGTAAAAACAAGTAAGGGGAAATAGGATCCCCTTGTCTACAACCTCTCCCAGGACAGAAATATTTGGACACAATCCAATTTTGAATAACACATGATTTGATATTGCTATAAAAAGATTTTATCCAATTTCTAATTGATATACCAAAATTAAAAAAAAAAACAATGTTTGGTGTATAAAATTCCATGAAATTGTATCAAATGCTTTTTCAAAGTCAATAAACATTAGAAGACCAGGTATTTTTCTTTTTATCAGGTATATTTTTAGAATTTATACACATATCTAAATTAAAAATCAAAACAAAAAAAATGGGAGTCAATGGGCTTCTTTTGGCGCTACAGAGTATTTAGTCTGACCTTTTTGCACTGTAAATACGTCTTACACATAAATCAATTTTTATAGTTTTTCCTCCGACATTTTATTCAAATAAATTATGGGAACAAACACAGTCTTATTTCACCTTGAAATCGACACATTAAAATTTGTGACAACGAAAATATTTTCAAATTATTCAGCATGTTCAATTATTTGACCTTTTTGCACTAAAAAAAAAAATCATTTTTCTTGCATTAAAAATTTAACAAGCAAAAAATTCATTTGAAAGTAATGACATTTTACTGAATTTAATAAGAATGGTTAAAAGTGTCTTATATATTCAGAAAAGAAAATTAAAAGTGGGGGTCTTTGATGTTAATTTTTAGATATTACTAAAATAGTGCAAGTTTTAAGCATAAATTAGGGCTATTTTTTTCTTGATTTTCACAATATATTTGCTATATTCATCAAACATGATGATAGAATTCATGACAGTTCATTTAATATATAATTTAGGACCAGTATAAAACAGTTCACTGCACAAAATAACTCTGTGTGCCGACTGCATGTAAAATAGGAATCCAAACTTAATATACTTTAAATACTTCGAAAGAGAAAAAAAAAAGAAGATATTTTCTTCTAAAAAAACCTTCCGACACAAAATATAGTTCCTCACTTAATGCTTTTGATATGGAATTTAATCATGGGGTTTTAACTGAATGTAGTTTAATTGGCATTGTAGAATCCAAATTTATTGTAAGAATTAAAACATTATGCAGATTTTTTGAAATATAGGTTAAGATAAAAATCTGCTCAAAATCTCAGGAGCGAACCTCGTTAATATCAAATATTAATGCCACCTACAAAGCTTAAACATATAAACACTTACAGAAGTTTTCTCATTTTAATACTAATCGAGTAAGATTGTATAGGTTTAGTTAGGATATCGATCATTCCGAACTTTTTATTCACCGACAAAAAAAATATCGGGACGATCCAGACTGGAATATGTCGTGATTTTTTTTCATTGGTAGTAAATATAGGGTCTGTGACGGCACATATTGTCGTTCTGTACATATTGTGGTCTGCGAATACCCTCACTGCACATGTTGTCGTTCATCAGTACATATTGTCACCGGATAAAAAGTTAGACGTACATACTGTTGCCGGCAACATTATGTGCCAACTGTACACATTGTCACCCCAAAGTTAGAGTTACTTAAGGATTTTTTTGTATGTTTGAGAATATAATTGGTGTGTAAATCACACAGAAGTGTCTCGTATGCTATTTTATGCAGCGCGAGTGTGACGGCACATATTGTCATCCTATACATATTGTCGTTGGCGACATTGTGAACCTCTCCAAATTGCAATATTGTCTTTCATTGGTATATATTGTCGAAAACTGCAAAATTATATATGTACATATTGTTGCTGGCAAAAATATTTGCGTATCCTTACTGCACATATTTAGATGTTGATAAAGATGATGATGATGATGTATATGATAATGATTATGATATGGTCAGGAAAGTTGAGGAGGCCATTTTGCACACAAATTGTACATACATGTATAATGTCTTTAATTTGAAATACTTAAACCAAATGCCTTCTTATATAAATTTAAATCTAGAGAAATACACAGACATCTAGTGCACTAAAAATTTAAATCAATTTCTATAAAAGCAGGTTTTAATGAGAAGACTTTAAAAACATTTCGACCCCAAACAACAGTGACATAAATATTAATAACACAACAAAAGTCCTAAGGGCCTCAACGGTCACCTGAGTATAATACAACACTGTTAAGGATCCACAAAAATAGAAAGAAAAAAAAAGCAAGAAAAAAACCCAAGAGCCCAGGAAGAGGCATATTGGTAATCATAACTATGCACTTCGTTGAAGATTTTCAAAGAATTAAATGCTTTTTTACTATACAATCAATAGAGCCCCACCCTAACACTCCCTGGAGCAGGGGCCATGAAATTCATAATTTGGAAGAGGCACCCTTGATCATCATAACCATGCACTTAGTTTTTTCACTTATACCCGAGAGCAGAATATCAACTGAAACTGAAAATATTTAAATGATAACGCATGACGCACGAAAGCAATGGGTCACCTGAGTACCTAGATAATTATTACAACTGAACGCAATAAGTAATTTTCTCCATATATATATATATATATATATATATATATATATATATATATATATATATATATATATATATATATATATATATATATATATATATATATATATATATATATATATATATATATATATATTTATATATATATACATATATATATATATATAAATATATATATAAATATATATATATATATATATATATATATATATATATATATATATATATATATATATGGGTTTATCAAAAATTCGTGGACTGATGTGATAAAATTAAAACAATGAAATCGATGCTAACAAAATTTAAAAGGGACATAAAACAAAAAAGTTCAAAAATGTTGAATGGATTAAGACCTTCTACTGATTCTGATGGTTAAGATTATTATTCTTTTTAAGGTCTTCCGCTCCAGGCGGAAGACCTTCTACTGATTCTGATGGTTAAGATTATTCTTATTATTCTTTTTTTTTTTTTCCTAGACGCCAACTTTGAAGCTTCATATCTTCCTCATTTCTGAACGGATTTTGTTCAAATTTTCAGAGCTTTTAGACTTTGCAAAACACTCTCAGAATACTGTAATACAATTCGGAAATTACCTTCTGTTCACGAGTTATTCCCCTTTGATTGAAATTTTTATGCCTCTGGTTTCCAGACAAAGGCTCTGAGACTGCAAT